GACACACACACAGACACACACATACATACACACATACATATACATATACATAAACACAAACCGGCAAAGACAAGGACACATGCAGTAGAGATAACGGCCACATCTTCCACCTTCACTCTACCACACGCAGGTGCACACATGCATGCATGTGAATCCGCGTGGTCGAGAGTAGAGAGGGAAAGTTGCACATTGCTGGGCGAATCAACAACTGTGTCGAGAGGGCACATGAGTACATGAGCCATGACTACGTCCAAATGTGCATAAGTAAACTAGCACAAACCGGGAAATCACCGGTTCTGGACGGTGTACAGACTCAGCCTACCCGAGCCACGGAATCGCTGTAGTCATGGCCAAACGCGTACTTTTGAATTGACGCATTAAAGAGGCTAGTATCGCTTTTTATTTTTATGCGGGTATTAGATTTGGCAAAAGTGTACTTGGAAAGTGGGACAGAAAGAGATACGGAAATGACAGACAGAAGAGGGTTGATGCAAGAATGGACGTGGGCTGCGGACTTGTGCATGTGCGGTGCCGCCCTGTTGCCAACCCGTTACACCTCACTTTGCCTCTGTCCTATGGCCAGGTTCGTCTAGAAGGCATGGTCCAGATTTGTGATTTCCCCCAGCGACCGCGCCGTTAGCCCATCTCCGATCTAGGCTTTTGCCTCACGCCCATTCAGCAAGGATGCCTTGGCTACGCCGCCTCACAGAAGCGGCGACAAGATCCGAAAACGAGACCGTGCCAGCTGACGATGATGCGCCGGCCGACGAGATCGTCTTGCCTGGCCGGGTTGCCATCGTCACCGGGTCGTCGGCCAGTCCGGCCGGAGGTGACGAGTCAACAAGTCGGCCACTCGACCAGACGACCACGAGCGCCACGAGTTACTCGTCGGCGGCCGCAGTCACGACGACGACGGACGCGCCTCAGCCGGTTGGTACAGATGCCTGGCTCGAGAACATGCTGACCACGAGTGAGCCGGCCCAAATGTCCACTCATTGGCCCGGCAACTACACGCACAGACCTGACGTAATCGGTGAAATGGGGGACGGTCTCAGCGACAGCAGACCAGAACGAGACGAAACCTCCTACCGGACTTGGCCTTCCGGCGAGTTCGGCGTAATCTCGCCCCTCCTCACTACCACCCTCTCCTCCTACTCCTCTTCTTTACACTCTTCGGTGCCTCCCGCGTCTTCCACGCCTTCGGCGTCTTTGGCGTCTTCAGCGTCTTCGGCTGTTTTTGCCACTTTGCCACTTCTCTTCAACACCACAAGCCAGCCGCCGCCTGGCACCGGTGTAGTCCCAGCAACTCCAGACACCTGGTTGCCAGGGCCAACGGACTCTTCACCCTCAACCCCATTGCTACAGGCCACATTGGCCAGCCTGGCGTCTGCCGAGACTCATCGTTCTACCGAGAACTCGACGATGCTGTTGGTAACCGTGGCCAACGGTCTGTCCAGGTTTGAGGACAATATGACCGACGGACCAGCCCACGACCCGGTACCATCCGGCTCTGAGATGACCCTCTCGTATGGCTCGACTGCCACCAGCGACATGGTCACCGGCCTCCTCACTCTGCTCACCTCGACGCCAGAACTGGTCACCACAACCACGACCGCCAGCACAACCGCCCACTCAGTGACCAGCACCACCAGCCTCCCGATCACTTCGATGGCCACCACTTTGAGCAGCATCGTTGAGCGCAGGAGTTGCATTGGATCCGCTGACAGCGAGCCTCACCTGCAGAGATACGTGTGTGTTGGCCATCCGATAGCCTCCTGGGTTGCCTCCTGTTTCATCATCACGATGACTGTGTTCGGTCTTTTCAGTGAGTACCCGTGAATGCCCGGCCGAATGTGCCCACAATGCTCACTTCAGTCACGGTTTTTCGCTGGAACTGCATCTTTGCTCGCCTACTGAAATATCTAAAGAGTAGTATGTTGTTGAAAATTAAATTGCTTTTACATCATTTTTCTAGCATGCTGTGCAAGAATAGACGGCATAGTGCTCCATCTGTCCAATTTCGTTACTAAGTGATGATATGTGATAGTGGGCAAGATATAGCTGACTTTGCAAACCAATTTAAATCTTACTCAGATTTTAGCAACTCTTGTGGGCCGCGATACGACGACGCGGGACACTGATACGAACAGTCAGCAACTTGGCCGTACTCTTCAAAGAGTGCATAAAGCACTCAGTCTAGACAACCGCTTCCAGATGCCAATGCTTGTACTATTAGATTGCTGCAACTAGCAAACTGTTTGGAATGGGTCGGAGGTCCAAATTACCTGGAAAAAAATGTGGGCTTTCATGTATAGTGAAAATTAGTGTAGAAATGATACTTGAACTTTGCTTTATCTTCTTTGGTTGAAATTCATATAATTATTAACACCAAACGACAGAAGATATACTATTTGAGACAAACCGATCAGTGATAGTCTAGTACCTCCCACCAGCTATTTACGACTTACTAATAAGCTTGAAATATACGATAGGATCGATTTATTTCTATGCTTTATAGACAAAATATATTGTTTAGCTGCGAACCAAATCCCACATTTGATTTATTGCCCTTCTAATAAATGTGCTAATTTAAGCATATTTGAACACGCATCAGATGATAAAACAGTCAGCTGTATTTTCTAAGCTACCAAACAGGATAATTCATATGGCCAAAGAATGAAAATAGTCAATTTATGAAGGTTTAATCTGCCCCCAATTTTCAATATTGTATTTAATGTAAATATTGGGCGGACTGTGTGAAGGGAATGTGGATAGTAGAAATCCATGGAAGCGTTAACCGAAAAATATCAAGTTAGCTAACACGTAAAAAGGTTTTTGGTTAAACTATAAGGTTAGCTTTTTACACATTTACCAAGTAATAGCTGACCTTTTGTCTGCTCAATGATTAATAAGTTAGTCACGAGTTAATCTATCAGTAAATAAGGACTTGACTACCTGAGATCGATACAGAAGATAATAAGAAATGTAGATGAATTTTCTCTCACAACGCTGTTGAATTTCACGTAACCTGTCTCTAAAAAATTTTCATATTTTCTTTCACCGAAAATGAGTAACCTCATCAATAAAAATTGCAAATGCATTCTTCCTTCATGGACAAATGTGATTTGGGAGAGGATTAGCTTGACTTAAATATCACATCTGGCCTGTGACCTACTGGCAGCCTTGGCTGCTTAGCCACAATGCTCACGATCCAATATCGAATCCTATTGGGGGTGCTATTGACAACTAGGCAAGGTCCACTTTGGACCTTTGATGGGCAATACGAAATTAAATTCAATGATTTAAGGATGTCTACTCATATTAGAATGAGAAAAATTAATCTATCCCTCCTTAAACCATCTTAAGCGACCTAAGTTGACAATGTTCCCATTTTAAAATTACAAATTATCTCGAAAAGTATACACGTCTTAAATAGTTTCGATTAGCAAAAAGTAACCATATAAAGGGTGACATCAGACAGCTGTTGGAGGCAAGATAATGAGTCATAAAATTATTTACAGCCGATTGGTTGATGCAAAATGAGTGAAAATTAATGAACTTAATTTTAGTTATCTATATATATGAGTTTATAAAATCTATCGAGGATCATTCGAAAGTATCTTTTAAAATGACATCTATTTATCATTTAAATTAACAATTTAAGTCTACTCCAAGCTTATTGGCTATCATCTGTTGCCTAGGGTTATAAAATTTTCGTTATAGAAGCCCATTGTTAGGTCACTATGTGAAATTACCTTATTCTATCAAAATTAGCTATCTATAGGAAGAACTGGATGCCATTCTTCTGATACTAACAGCATATTATTAGTATATCATACATAATAACAATAGTATTGATGTTATTTAATGCTTAATGAATGATATTATTATTACATTAATATATATTTGGTTAAAAACTGGGAGCTAATAGGCCCAGTCGTATTTCGAAATGCCTGATATTTATTTGGTGATGATTCACATAGTCAATAAGAATTTACCGATTGCATTTTGTTTCCAATCTATTTTATTGCATACCTTGCTAGGTCCAATCTTTTACATATATATATATATATATATTCTATCTAGTGATTACCTACAAAGTGTATTTAATTTTTGTTGGGATTACTTCCATTTCGAGTAGAAGTGTTGGGTGAAGAGATTCGAAGGT